CTCTGAGGCCAACACTGCTGATGTTTTCACCAAGGCACTTCCGCCTTGTGATCATCAGCGCTTCTGCACTCAGCTGGGACTTGTCCCAGTCTTGCCTCACTTGCTCACCTCTTGACCTTGTTTGTACTCTTGCATATATATATATACCTGCTCTTGCTTGTTTAGCCTTATATATATATGTCTACCCCTGCATGTGAACTGGCCTTGTGGCCTTGACCTTGTGCTCGGACTGTGTGGTGACTTCGTGATCCACCCTGAGCTTGCTTTGCTTTGATTTGGTTGACTGGTCTTGAGACCCCTTGTTCTCCCCCACTTTGCCTATGGGGGTGTGTCAGAACATATAGCTTTTGCATATTCTGTAGGCTATAGTGGGGTAGCCCACAAGGGGTACAACCCAATTAGGGTTAGTACTTGTACTCAGTTCATTCATAGTTCATTCATTCTCGTTCTCATTTTCTCATATTTCGGAGGCCGGAGTCGAGATTGACCCAAAGAAGCTGGACACGGTAAAAGTGTGGCACCCCTCGACAAATATCACGGAGCTGCAGAGATTTTTAGGGTTCGTCAATTATGTGCGTCGGCGTCCCCAACATGGCACGGTGAACGGCCACACTAACGGATCTTCTGCGAAAGGGGGTGCTTTTACGTAGGGGGAGAAAGAGCATGATGCCTTCTTTGCCTTGAAAAATGTTCTCTGTTCCCTGCTCGTCTTGCGCATTGCCGACCCACACCGCACATTCGAAGTGGTTCCAGACGCAAGTGATATCGCTATCGGGGCCGTACTGCTACACGATTTCGGCAACGGTTTACAGCCTATCGCATACGAGTCACGTAAACTACATCCGCCCGAGAAAAATTACCCGATACACGACCGCAAAATGCTCGCGATCGTGCACGCCTTCAAGGTCTGGCGCTGTTACTTGACCAGCGCAGACGTGACAGTTCGGACAGACCACAAATCACTACAGTACCTTCACACACAATTCCACCTCGACCCACGACAGGTTCGCTGGCTCTTTTTCTTCGAGTCAAACTTCCACTATACGGTCACTTATAAAAAGGGGGCATCAAATATTGCCGACGCACTGACCGCCCCACTGCCCAAATCCACGCTATACTACTCGCCCACACCAGCCCACTACTCACAGAACTATTTACCCACGGCCACCAAACAGACCCATTCTTCACCGGAGGAAACTCGCAGCATTTTGCGGCGGCAAAGGGGGCTTATTATGTTACACTAAGGCCGGCACCGATCGCATCTGGGTACAAGGCTACACTTCACTAAGAGAGCTATTATTATAGGAGGGACACGACGGGGTTACCCCAGGCCATTTCGGAGTAGAAAAGGCATGGCAGCAGCTGCACCAGTATTATTATTGGCTCGATATGCTGACCGACGTGCAGCGACATGTGGCATCGTGTCCCACCTGCCAACTATGAAATCATCACGGAAGCTGGCAAGGCAGTTGCAGCCGATACTACCCCCAGAGCGTGCTTGGCAACTAGTGACGATGGACTTCGTCACGAGGTTACCGGCAGGAGCAAGTGGGAACGACGAGATCCTGGTTGTCATCGATCGGTTGACAAAAATGGCACACTTCGCAGCCTGCAAAAAGTTAATTACAGCCGAAGAAACAACTCGCCTCTTCATCTCCGTCATCGTTGGACTGCACGGGATACCAGCAGCGATCATCAGCGATCGAGGCACGAAATTCACCAACAACTTCTGGCGGAACCTGTGGGAGCAGTTCGGCACACGACTATAGTTCAGTTCATCGTACCACCCGAAACCGACGGATAGCCAGAACACAAATCAGCCACGGAACAGCTCATCCGAAGTGCGGCAACCCGACCACGTGGGAACAGCAACTGCGACTCATCGAGTTCGCATACAACATCTCGCCATCCGCCACGACCCAACAATCACCCATTTACCTGAACTACGGACAAGACCCCACAGTGCCCATGACTCCGAACCTCGACAACCTGGTACCACACGCTCAACAGTTCGTAGAAATCTTACAGCAACACGGATCCGAGCAGCAGACGCAATAATAAAACCAATCATCATCGCCAAGCGCAACGCCGACCGCCACCGCCGACTTGTTACGTACCAGCCCGACGACCTCGTTTTACTCGACACCCAGAACCTCCGCCTACCGATAGCCCAAAACTCCCCCCGATATTGTGGGCCATTCCGCATCAGCCACGTGATCACCCCCGTCACCGCCCACCTCCTCCTCCCAACTGACTTGTATGTCAGCCCGTCGTTCCACGTCAGTCTCCTCTGCCCAAACGTCCCCTCCACCAGCCAACTGCCCGCAACCACCGAAACAACATGACACGACCGCCAACAGAGCCAATCATTACGCCCAAAAAAATACGGAGCCACCGAGTTCGTGACCCACATGGAGCCCGCAGAATCGAATTTCTGATTCGCTGAAAAGACCGCACGCCCACTGAGCACAACTGGGTTCCCTTGTATAAAATTGAGAACCACCCTGTCCTCACCGAGTATCTGTGCAGCTGAAATTTTCGGGATGTACACGCGCTTTCGTAAGAAGGGCCTCGTGAGGGGGGGGGGGGGGGGGGGGGGGGGGGGGGATAGTGCAAGGAAAATTCATTTTCGTTACTTCGCGTCCCGGCTCAGTGCGTACACCACTGTTCCCGCCAACAACTCTCAACAGTGCACCGTTACCACTCGCGACCGCCTGGACCACTGTTCCCGCCACTGTTCACGACGTGACCCAACCTCATGGTTCGGTTGGTAACCCGCGCTCCGGACCTCCGCCTCGACAACTCCCGACCTCGGCGCTAGGCCCGTACCGCACCCCATTTTCACCACGTTACCGTTATCAGTCTAGCTTTGCTACATATTCTTCACTCATGCCTTCGCTTGATGTACTGTTTTGCCTCGATAGTGCAGATTTAGAAAGCTTGCTTTCTAACACTTATAATTTGGCATCGTTCTCGTTTCAACTGGCAAATTACAACATGCACCTCGAGCTAGACAATATAAGTGCTAGTACATGTCCTGATACTTCCTTCCTATAAACCATTCGTCAAGCTATCAATCCTAATAGGTGTGCGCTAACCCATATTGTACCACTTGTGTCCTCCTATGTAAGCGGCGGCCTTGGTGTCCATCGGTGTTGGGGCGGGGGGTGGGAGAGTTGCATGAGCCGTTTGAAAAATGAGAGACGTGGGTGGAGGGAAATGAACTCCAACCCACGATTTGTAGTTGGAGAAGGGCGTTTAGCGCGCTTCGACGATGCCGAATTCGCGTTACAGTCAGCTGCGCTTTCGAAATACCTAATTAAAAAAAACACTATGTGTGTTTAAAAATTATCATTTTTCGCTCGCTCGCTCAATTGCACTCGTAACACATATGTATACAGTCCACTATCTATCGACCATCCCCTAAATATATACCATCCTTCCAATCATGTACCGTCAATATCTGTAAACTGTATGTTCCCTGCTCTGTACATGTTCCGTCCTCCACCGCTGATGTTCTGAGCTCCTACGTGCTAAGGGCGCGTGTCCTTATACAGTGTTTTGCAAAACTCGTCTTTTTTGTTGAACTTCTACCATTTGAGCCTAGGTCGATCTAGGCTCGAGCATATAGATTCATTTTTCTCTAGCCGCTGTTCCTCGCTTCACATGTATCACACGGCACACAACAGTTCGAATAGTTAAGTTCAACTTTGAGCAGTAATTTACGAGTCGCGCTGAGCTTTCGTAGGTTACCTGGTAGGGCGGTGCAGTTCGTGACCGTGTACGGCTTCAGTAACCAGGTACGATGTAACTCGTTACGATCGTGAACCTCGCAAAAAAATCGTACGTACGCAGAAGGACACACGACTGGATAAATGAAAACGTAAAAATCCGAACTCAGGTCGACTTTAGTTCAGTGTCCTACTTCTTTCATACAGTTTGACCTAGGACACACGATTCCCTCGCGATCGTTTTGGCGAAATAAACGAAACAAGTTACCAACAAAAGTTCAACCTAACCCCGAACTTCTACACCAAAGGACACGCGCCCTAATACAGTAAAGCCAAATGCTCCTCGACACACTGCTAGCTTTTACTCTACTCGTCCGTCCTTCATTGCCCTTTTGGCATCCTGGGTGTAGCCTCGGTTTTGTTGCAACCTATTCCTCTGTGCGACCTAGGCGTTTGTGTACGGGCCCGCCCAAGTGCCGGCAGCCTTCATTACTATCGCACATGGCGTCGTTCGCGCGCTGTCTTCCGCTCGCCCGCGACTTATCGCCGCTCCAGCGACAAGTTAATCGTCATTGTCTCGCAACGCAGCTAACCGCATTTCAGTTAACCGTGCTCACTTAACCGTGTCAACCGAGTTTACCGCGCTCAGTCAGCTGCATTCAGTTAACCGCGCTCACTTAACCGCGTTCAGTCAGCCGTATTCATTTACCTGCATTCACATAACCGCACCCTTTTAACCGTAACCCTTTCCTATCTGCGTTCGCCAAGAAGCCATCAGTCATTCGTCATCGCTTACAAAGGATAGAGAATTGCTCGTCGCTATCGCCGCTGTCGCCAAGCAGCGAAAATCGCGAGGGACCGACGAAGACCAGTTACCCTAGTTCTGAGTGTTGCGAAAACGGCGCGCTCTCGCTTGTTCTCTTGCCTGAGCGCACCCGCATGGCTCCTTAGCGCGTTTCGCGACTCGTGTTTTGAAGGCCGTGCTCGCTTGTTCTCTCACCTGAAGGCACCGCTCTCCATCCCGCAGCACCGCACGACCTGCCGTCGCCGCTTCTTTGGCTCCGCGTGCGCGCAAGGCGCTCCGCTGCTCCGCGGGCAAGCGCGAGCGGAAGGAGGGGCGGGGAAGAGAGCTGCGGCGAGTGCGGAAAGGGGGCGATTTTACCCCTGCTACTAGGCGCGTTTAGGGTTACCTCATTCGTACCCGGCGTTTAGGGTTGACGCAGCCTATACAGGCCGTTTAGGGTTAGCGCGTTTCTGAGACAGGGTGGGATGGAGGAAGAGAGTGGGGGTGGAGGAGTGCTGAGGGCGACAGGTGAGGATAGTCAGAGATCAATGTTGCAAGCACGGGGAGGCTCGGAGGGTGGGGAGGTTAAGGAGGGCGAAGAGGGAAAGGAGGGTAAGGTTGGTGCGATGGGTGAGGAGGGATGTGAGCGGGGCGGACGGGCAGAAGGAGAGGGAAAGGGAGAGGCTTTGGAAGCGAGTGAGAGTGTAGTTAGGCGAGAGGAGGAGAAGGAGAGGAGGGAGGAGGGGAAGGAGGAGGGGAAGAAAGAAGGGAAGGAGGAGGGGAAGAAAGAAGGGAAGGAGGAGGGGAAGAAAGAAGGGAAGGAGGAGGGGAAGAAAGAAGGGAAGGAGGAGGGGAAGAAAGAAGGGAAGGAGGAGGGGAAGGAGGAGGGGAAGAAAGAAAGGAAGGAGGAGGGGAAGGAGGAGGGGAAGAAAGAAGGGAAGGAGGAGGGGAAGGAGGAGGGGAAGAAAGAAAGGAAGGAGGAGGGGAAGGAGGAGGAAAAGAAAGAGGGGAAGGAGGAAGAGAAGGAGGAGGGGAAGGAGGAGAGGAGGAAGGAGGAAAGGAGGGTGGAGGAGAAGGAGGAGGGGAATGTGAAGGAGAAGGAGGAGGGGAAGGAGGAGGGAAAGGCGGGGAAGGAGGAGGGAAAAGGGGAGGGGAAGGAGAAGGGGAGGGAGGAGGGGAAGGGGGAGGGGAAGGAGGAGGGGAAGGAGGAAGAGAAGGAGGAGCAGAATGAGGAGGGGAAGGAGGAGAGGAGGAAGGGGGAGGGAAATGAGGAGGTAAAGGAGGGGAAGGAGGAGAGGAGGGAGGAGGAGGAGGTGAAAAGGGAGAAGGGGAAAGAGGAGGTAAAACAGGAGGGAAAGGGGGCGGTTGGAGGAGCGGGAGAGGGTAGTGAGAGAAAGGCAGATGAGAGTGTTGAGAAGGGACGTAGTGAGAAGGACGGAGCAGTTACAGAGGAAGAAAAGAAGAGGAGAGAGGTAGAGGAGAAGAAAAAAGAGGTGGAAGAAAAGAAGAAAAAAATAGAGGAAAAGAAGAAAGAGGTGGAAGAGAAGAAGAAGAAAATAGAGGAGAAGAAGAAACAGGTAGAGGAGAAGAAGAGTCATGCAGGGAAGGAGGAAGGTGAAAAGGGGAAGAAGGAGGAGGAAGGCGAGAAGGGAGAGGAAGGGGAGAAGCAAAACGAGGAAGAGAGAAAGCAGAAGGAAGAGAAGACGAAGAAGGGGAGGGAAGACGAAGGAGGGCGCGAAGCAAGCTTGGAAGATAAAACCAGTGAAGAAGGGAAAGTCAAAGAAGCAGGAAGAGCAGGAGAGAAAGATCTCGCCAGCCCAGAAAGAGGAACAGCAGCACCATCTGCCTCCGCTCCCCTTTCTCCTCCCCTTTCTCCTCCTCTTTCTCCGCCGTTTCCACCGCTCCTGACCGTCTGTATTGAAGAGCTGCAGAAGAGAGGGAGCAATGGTATCCCCCTCCGCACGCTCGCTCTCTCTGTTGCCTCCAGGTGTTCCGAGCTCTGTGGAAAACACCTGAGAGGCTCTGCTGCTGCCAGTGAGTTGCGCCGGAAGCTCCAGGGCAGAGAAAGTGTTTTCGAGATTGGGCAGGGACCGGACGAGGTGGTCCGATTGGTGGACACGGAGGCGAAGCTACCCAAAAGGAAGAAGAAAGGGGAGGTTGCTGTTGGGGTGGTAAGTGAGAAGGCTGGGGAAGGCGGGGAGGAGGGGAAAGGAGGTGGAGGTGAGAGGGAGGGGGTGGTGGACGATACAGAGAAGAAACGGGGTAAGAGTAAGGATTCGAATACGGATAGGCAGCAGCAGCAAATGCAGCAGCAGAAGGATAAGAAGGATAAGAAGGAGCAGAAGGATAAGAAGGATCAGGGAGGCAGCAAAGAGCAGGAGGATGGAAGCAAAGGCGAGTTTGACCCGCTGTTAGCTATCAGCAACTCGCCCAAAGGTGCACGGCGAGGCGCTCCCAGGAAGAAACCCTTAGAAGCGCTGCTGGCAGTGGGGGCTCCAGGGGGGGCTTCAGTGGGGAGGGAGCAGGGCGGGGAGCACCGGGAAGGGGTGGGTTTGAGCCGACTCAAGCAGCAGAGGGGGAGAGGGCGGGAGGAGGGGGAGGGGAAGGTTGGGGAGGGTGATGGGAGGAAGTTGGCTGGGGAGGAGGGGGAAGGTGGTGTGGGAAAGGGGGAAGGTGGTGTGGGGATGAGAGGTGCAGGTGGTGGTGCGAGAGGGGGTAAAGGGAGAGGAAGAGCGGGGGGGAGGAATTGGGGGAGTGCGATTGCGGTGCTGCTGGAAACAGGGGAGGCGGGTGACAGAGACGGGGGAAGCAGGGAGAAGGGGAAGACGGACGGGGGGAAGACAGAAGGGGGGAAGATGGAAGGGGGGAAGATGGAAGGGGGGAAGATGGAAGGGGGGAAGATGGAAGGGGGGAAGATGGAAGGGGGGAAGAGGGAGGAGGGGAAGACGGATGGGGGGAAGGCGGAAGGGGGGAAGACGGATGGGGGGAAGGCGGAAGGGGGGAAGACGGATGGGGGGAAGGCGGAAGGGGGGAAGACGGATGGGGGGAAGGCGGAAGGGGGGAAGACGGATGGGGGGAAGGCGGAAGGGGGGAAGACGGATGGGGAGAAGGCGGAAGAGGGGAAGACGGATGGGGGGAAGGCGGGAGGGGTGAAGACGGATGGGGGGAAGGCGGAAGGGGGGAAGACGGATGGGGGGAAGGCGGAAGGGGGGAAGACGGATGGGGAGAAGGCGGAAGAGTGGAAGCCGGATGGGGGGAAGGCGGAAGGGATGAAGGCGGATGGGAAGAAGGCAGAGGGGGAAAAGATGAAAGGGGGAAAGGCCGATGTGGGGAAAACAAATGGGAGGAAGACGAACGAGGGGAAGAGAGAGGGTGGAAAGACGGATGCGGCGGATGAAGAGAAGAAAGATGGTGAGGATGCTGATGCTGCTGTTGACCTGCAGAGTGAATCTACTGATGCTGGTGGTGATGGTGGTATTGGTGGTGGTGGTGATGGTAATGGTGGTGATGGTGGTGGTGGTGATGGTGGTGATGATGATGATGCTGTTGTGCTGGATAGCAGCAGTGAGGACGCAGTGGAGGTGATTGGTGGGAAGCGGAAAGGGAAGGGGGCGAAGGGGAAAGGGAGAATGGGCACAACAAAGAGCGGGAAGCGCAGTAGGAAAGGGGAGGAGAAGCAGAAAGGGAAGAAAAAACAGGAAGTGGAGGAGGTAGAGGAGGAGGAAGAAGAGGAGGAAGAAGAGGAGGAAGAAGAGGAGGAGGAGTGGCAAGCAGGAGAAGCGAGGGAGAAGGGCCGGAGGCAGAAGGGCCAGGGGAAGGAGCAGCAGAAGGGGCCGGGTAAAGGCAAGACTGCAGGGACGGGTGCAGACGGGACGGGGCCAACAGCGGGGTTGAGAAAGGTGTCTAAAGAGACATCAAAGGAGACATTGAAGGAGGTGCAGGTGAAGGGAGGTGTGAAGAGGAACGCAAAAGGGGATGCGAAGGAGGATGGTAAGGGGCATGGGAAGGGGGATGGGAAAGGGGATGGGAAGGCGGATGGGAAGGGGAATGGGAAGGGAGGTGCAAAGGCAGCAGAGGCTGCTGAACCAGCCGTCATCAGTAGTCCTAGGAGGACCAGTGCGAGTGGCGGGGGCAGAAGGAGCAAGGCTGTTCCAATCCGTGCTGCTGCTGCTGCTGCTGTTGCCTCCCCGCCCGGGCCCTCTTCACCCCTCGCCTCTCCCACCGCTGCTTCTCCCTCTGCTGCCAAGAGGAGGAGGAGCGATGGGAAGGAAACAAGTGTGGTGGAGACGAGGGGTACTGGTGGAGGGGCAGGAGAAGGCAGCAAAGGCGGCGGTAAGGGCAGCAGGAGCAGCAAGAGGGGCAAGGCGGCGCAGGGACGTGGGACAAGCACTGGAACAGGCAGTGGTGGTAGCAGTGGCGAGGAGGACGAGGAGGGTGGTCGCGTTTCTCCTGCTGCTCCTGCTGCTCCTGCTCCTGCAGTGGTGGCGGCTGCTAGATCAGGCAGGCCGCACCGTGCTGCTGCTGAGAAGGCCAGTTCGTTGGGTGCAGCGGGGCTGTCCTCTCCGTCTACCCCAAGCAAAGCCATTCGGGTATGAGCTTGGCCGAAAGCATGGAGGAGGGTCGATTTTTGAGTGTGCTGCTGCGGGCTTGACATCTCATCTCACCAGCTCCTTACGTGGCTGCCTTGCCTTGACTTTGCAACTGAGCAAACTTTGAAGCGAATCTCGTTGCTTCCTTCCTCCCTCTCTCTCCTTCCAGTTGCTGTCTCTCTCCCTCCCCCTGTGTGCGCGCGCCCATCCATCCATCCTCCCCACCAGGGCATGAATCGCATGTGCCACCAGTGCCAGCGCAACGACAAGGCGTGTGTTGAGGCGCCTCAAAACACTCCCCCTGTGTGCGTGCGCCCATCCATCCATCCTCCGCTCCCCACCAGGGCATGAATCGCATGTGCCACCAGTGCCAGCGCAACGATAAGGAGGAGGGCGTGGTGTACTGCCAGCGCGTGCCCACCCACCGCTTCTGCCTCCCCTGCATCCGCCAATGGTGCTCCCTTCTCTCTCTCCCCCCCCCTGCCCCGCTCTCCCGTCTCCTCCCCCCACCCTCTCTTTCTCTCGCTTTTGACCCTTCTTCTGTTGCGGTCCTGCCTTGTTTGCTTCCATTCGTTTCCCCTTCCCCTCAACCCCTCCTCCTTGTCGCTCCCCCCCTTGTTGTTCCCCCTCCTATCTGTTTGTGCGGGCACCACGCCTTTCTCCTTTTGGCCTTCAGCTTTCTCCCTCTCCCCTTTCCCACCCCAAGTGTCTCTCCATCGCCCCTCTGTATCTTCCTCTCTCCGTCCTCCTCCCTTTGACCTCCTCCGCTCCTCCTTCGTGCAGAAATAATCTCTGCTCATCTTGTGTTCCCAACTGCATGGATGCATGGGTGTGTGGCTGTATGGGTGCATGGTTGCATGGGTGTGTGCTTGGGTGCATGGGTGCTTGGGTGCATGGGTGCTTGGATGCATGCATGCATGGGTGCATGGGTGAACGGGTGCTTGGGTGCACGGGTGCATGCATGCATGCATGTATGCATGGGAGCAGGTACCCTATGTACACAGTGGAGGAGATAATCGCCTTCTGTCCCAAGTGCCGTGGCAACTGCAACTGCAAAACCTGCCTCCGCACCCGCATCCCTGCACCCTATGTCAGTGCCCTGCCATGCCCCATGCTTATAGTTTTGTTGTTAGTCAACTTTCCTGGCAGGTGCTAGAACTGCAAGACATATCCCTGGAAACCTGCATCCCTGCACCGTCTAGTTTTGAGGCGCCTCAAAACTAGACTTTCCTGGCAGGTGCTAGAACTGCAAGACATATCCCTGAAAACCTGCATCCCTGCACCGTATGTCAGTTCCCTGCCTGTCTGTCCTGCCATCCCCCCCATGCCATTCCTTTTTTGTTCGACTGACGAAAGAGCAATCAACTATGTCAATGCCATTCCATGTCCTACTACCATGCTATCCTGTCACTGATCTCCCATGCCCCTCTCTCGTCCTCTCTTTCCCCTTTCCGCCCTATTTCCTTCACCCATTCCCTCCTCTCTCCCTGCCACCAGCGGTCGGCAGGGGCATCGGCAGAAGAGCGAGCGGGCATGGCGTGCCGAGTGCTGCGCTATGTGACTCCCTTGCTGGCCGATCTGGTGCAGCAGCAGGAGGAGGAGACGAGGCTAGAAGCTGCACTCCAGGGCAAAGACCCGAAAGGTAGGATGCAACGCAATCACATGAAGGGGGTTGAGGGAATAGCTTGGGCGGAGTGGGGAAGGGAGGGGGCATGTATGCACAGCAGCAGCAGCAGCAGCAGCAGCAGCAGCAGCAGCAGCAGCAGCAGCAGCAGCAGCAGCAGCAGCAAGAGGAGGAGGAGGAGACGAGTATGGAAGCAACAGCTCAGGTCAGGGCGGGTGGGTTGGGATGTATCAGTCATGTGGGGGCGGCTAGGTGTGTTTGTGCGTGTGGGGTGGCTGGGGGGAAGGGATGGAAGTATTGTTGTGTTATGTCATACACGCATCTATCTGCACGGCATGTGTGGCCTTGCGGACAATCGTTGTGCGCGCGTTGTGTGGCGTTGTGTTGCGTGTGCACGGCTTTACCTACTCAGAAGTACTGTCATGTCATGTCATGTCATAGACGCATCAATCTGCTCTGCATGCATGGCCTTGCGGGCGTTTGTTGTGTGCGCGTGTTGTGTGGTGTGTGTTGTGTCGCATTGTGCGTGATGCATGCGTGTGTGTGCATGTGTGCGTATGCGTGTGTGCGTGCGTGTGTGCGTGTTTGCGTGTGTGCATGCATGCGTGCATGCGTGTTTGCGTGTGTGCGTGTTTGCGTGTGTGCGTGTGTGCGTGCGTGCGTGTGTGTGTGTCTCTCTGTCTCAGAAGTGGATATCCAGCGAGTGAAGATTGCAGTAGACGAGCGCATCTTCTGGTCAGCACCATAAGACTCCCTGAACTGAATCCATAAGATTGCAGTTGTTCTTTTCTTCTAAACCCCATAGGCAACGCCCTTCTTTCGTCTTTCGCGACTGCCCTCATGTTCATATGCCAATGCTCTCACTAAAGTTACTCCAATTTCTGCATGTCTCTTCTTGCTTCCTCTTCTGTGTCCTTCTGGCTCTACTCTCTCTGTAATTTTCTTTTTCTTCACTTTTCCCAGAAGCCACTTGTTCTTTCTCTGGTCTTCCTCCTCTTGTTTTTTTTTTTTAAATTTCTTTCCTGCCCCACGAATTTTTCCTGCACCTGCCCACAACAGTTCACACTGCCAGACATCCATCATTGACCTTTTCCGCAGCTGCCCGGACAAGGACTGTGATTTTGACCTCTGCCTTTCCTGCTGCAGAGATTTGCGGGCGGGGAAGGTACCCCCAGGAGAGGTGTTTTCTGAAGAGTCTGAGGGAGGAGATGGGGAGGAGGAGGGAGAGGAAGAAGGGAGAGGAGAGAAGGAGGGAAGAGATGATGAGGTTGAAACTGAGGGAGGAGGGGGAAAAGGAGGGGTGAAAGGCAAGAAAAGGAAGGGTTCTTCGGGGTTAGGAAAGGCGGGCAAGAAAAGGAAGGCTGGCAGTGGTGGTGGGAGTGGGTCGACTAAGGGAGGATCTGTTGCGAGCATGCTGATGAAAGAGCTGGGATTGTCTGCGGAATTAGAGGAAAAAGGTGGTGCTGGTGCGGTTGATGCTGCTGTTGATGCTGATAGTGGGGATGGTGGGGATGGAAGGGATGGAGGCGGTAGGAAGGCGAATGGGGTGAGAGTTCCTTGGGTTGCTGATGCTTCGGGGGCGATTCGATGCCCTTCTGTGCGCTGCAGAGTGGTGGATGGAGGCAGGGGGGAGGGTAACGAGGAAAGGAAGGAGTGTGGGGAGGAGGGAGGGAAGAACGGGGAGAAGGCACGTGAGGAAGGGAAGAAGGGCAAGCCGGAGAGAGGGGATGGAGAGGAGGGGAGTCGGGTGGATGGGGATGGTGTTTCGGTCGCAGATGCTATGGAAGTGGAGGGTGTCGCGAGTGAGAAGGTGGAAAGGAAGATGGGTGAGAATCAGGTGGGCAAGGAAGCTGGTGGAAAGGTGGAAGAAAAGGTGGTAGGGAAAGTGGAAGGGAAGATGGAGGAGATCAAGCAGGAAGAGCAGTGGGAGAGCAAGAATAGGCTGGTGCTGTGCAGTGTGAGGGGCCGCGGGTGGCTGGAGGGGCTCCTTCATCAGTGTGAGCAGCATGTGGGGGGTGATGGGGGAGAGGGGGTAAAGGGAGAGGGGAAGAAAGGAGAAGGGGAGAAGGGAGAGGGGAAGAAAGGAGAAATGGAGAAGGGAGAGGTGGAGAAAGGAGAGGGGGAAAAGGGAGAAGGGGAAAAGGGAGAGGGGGAAAGTGGAGAGGGGGAAAAGGAAATGGGGGAGAAGGAAGCGGGGGGAAAGGGAGAGGGGAAGGAAGGAGAAGGGGAGAAGGGAGAGGGGGAAAAGGGAGAGGGGGAAAAGGGAGAGGGGGAAAACGGAGAGGGGGAAAAGGGAGAAAGACAAAAGGAAATGGGGGAGAAGGAAGAGGGGGAAAAGGGAATGGGGGAAAAGGAAATGGGGGAGAAGGGAGAGGGGAAGAAAGGAGAAGTGGAAAAGGGAGAGGGGAAAACGGAAGTGGGGAGAAAGGGAGAGGGGAAGAAAGGAGAAGGGGAGAAGGGAGAGGGGGGAAAGGGAGACGGGAAAAAGGGACACGGGGAAAAGGGAGAGGGGGAAAAGGGAGAGGGGGAAAAGGGAGAGGGGGAAAAGGGAGAGGGGGAAAAGGGTCAGGGGGAAAAGGTTCAGGGGGAAAAGGGAGGTGTGTTAGAGACGAAAGAAGGGGAGAAAGGAGGAGTGGAGGTAGGCAGGGCGAAAGAAGCAGTAGTAGAGGGTAAGGCAAGCATGGATGTAGCAAGCAGTGCGGGGAAGGGGTGTAGGGTGTGCGAGGATAAATCCTCACACATGCACCGACTCATGCTGGCTCTTGCTTCTGTGTGGAGTGATTTACAGCGCAAGCGGAACGAGAGGGTGATAGCATGTGAGGAGGATGGGAATGGTAGGGAGGAAGCAGGGAAGGTCAAGGGGGAGGAGGACCAGGATGAGCAGAAGCAGCGAGAAGGGGAGGTTGATTTGGTCGAGGAGGAGAAGGGCTGCAGTAGCAGCAAACCGTCCGTTGCTGCTGATGCTGCTGCTGCTGCTGATGCTGATGCTGATGCTGCTGCTGATGCTGCTGCTGCTGCTCCTGCTGATGCTGCTGCTGCCCCTGCTGCTGCTCCTGCTGATGCTGCTGCTGCCCCTGCTGCTGCTCCTGCTGATGCTGCTGCTGATGCTGCTGCTGCCCCTGCTGCTGCCCCTGCTGCTGCCCCTGCTGCTGCTCCTGCTGATGCTGCTGCTGCCCCTGCTGCTGCTCCTGCTGAAGCTGCTTCTGATGCTGCTGCTGCCCCTGCTGCTGCCCCTGCTGCTGCCCCTGCTGTTGCTCCTGCTGCTGCTGCTGCTGCTGCTCCTGTTGATGGTGTTGCTGCCCCTGCTGCTGCTCCTGCTGATGGTGCTACTGGTCCTCCTCCTCCTGCTCCTAATACTTCTCTTGTTGCTTCTGCCACTGCCACTGCCCCTCCTCCTGCTCCTGCTGCTGCTCCTGGTGATTCTCCCCCTGATACCTCCTCTTCACATCTCTCCCACTGGCTGGACCTGTCCTTCCCCAAAGCCCTCAACCTCTTCAAACACTTCAAAACCGCTCTCAACCGCGATTGCCACGCCAACAGCCTCCTCTGGGCCTCCTGCCGCCCGGGCAGCACCGACAATTTCCTCTTCTGCCCGACCCTGCCTTGGCCGAGGACAGAAGCAGAGGAGGGAGAGGGGGAAAAGAAAAAACAGGGAAATGCGGGAAGAGAAGAAGCTGGAAAAGCGGAGAAGAAGGAGGAGGAGGAAGAGGAGGGGCGCGATGAGGCAAAGTTGGTGGCGCATTTTCAGAGGCACTGGGAGCGTGGAGAGCCGGTGGTGGTACGGCAGGTGTTGGATCTGAGGCATGGGCTCAGTTGGGAGCCTCTGGTTATGTGGAGGGCGTTTAGAGAGACGACGCCTGGGGCGCAGATGAGTGAGAAGACCACCGTTGTCGCCATTGACTGCCTTGACTGGCTTGAGGTGAGACGCAGGCACGGCTGAGTCATCTCGATGATTGACTGGGGCTTGACTGGGGCTTGACTGGGGCTTGACTGGGGCTTGAATGGGGCTTGACTGATGCTTGACTGCCTTGACTGGCTCAAGGTGAGTCGTTTTCAAAATCCCCCCTTCCCTTCTTCCTTCCACCCCTCCCGCTTTCCCCCACCCTCAGGTGGAGATCAACACACGGCAGTTCTTCGAGGGCTACTGGTCGGGCCGCATGCACAGCTCCTGCGATGTCTCAAAAGTCCTCCCTCCCTCCATCCTTCCTTCCCCTGGCCCTCCATCCTTCCTTCCCCTGGCCCTCCATCCTTCCTTCCCCTGGCCCTCCATCCTTCCTTCCCCTGGCCCTCCATCCTTCTCTTCCTAAATTTCCACTCACCCCCCCCCCCCCCCCCCCCCTTCCCTCAGGTGGAGATCAACACGCGGCAGTTCTTTGAGGGCTACTGGTCGGGGCGCATGCACTCGTCCTGCTGGCCGGAGCTGCTGAAGCTCAAGGACTGGCCGCCCGCGTCCTTCTTCCACGTGCGCCTGCCCCGCCACGGCTCTGAGTTCATCAACGCGCTCCCCTTCCATGCCTACCTGCATCCCGAGGAGGGCGACACGAATGTGGCTGCGACGGCTGCGGCGCCTAAGGGGAGTTTGCGGCCGGACCTGGGGCCCAAGACGTATATCGCGTATGGGGTGAGGGGGGAGCTGGGCGCGGGGGACTCGGTCACGAAGCTGCACTGCGATATGTCTGATGCGGTGAGTGAATGGGTTGGTGGGTGGGTGTGGGTGTGGCCGTAGGTGTGTCTGTTTGTGTGTGCTTGTGCGCGCGTGCATGCATGCGTTCGTGTGTGCGTGCACGCTTGTGATTGTGTGTGGTGTGGGGGCATGATCATTGAAATGCGAGGTTGGAGTGGGGCATGGCCGGACCTGGGGCCCAAGACGTATATCGCGTATGGGGTGAGGGGGGAGCTGGGCGCGGGGGACTCGGTCACGAAGCTGCACTGCGATATGTCTGATGCGGTGAGTGAATGGGTTGGTGGGTGGGTGTGGGTGTGGCCGTAGGTGTGTCTGTTTGTGTGTGCTTGTGCGCGCGTGCATGCATGCGTTCGTGTGTGCGTGCACGCTTGTGATTGTGTGTGGTGTGGGGGCATGATCATTGAAATGCGAGGTTGGAGTGGGGCATGGCCGGACCTGGGGCCCAAGACGTATATCGCGTATGGGGTGAGGGGGGAGCTGGGCGCGGGGGACTCGGTCACGAAGCTGCACTGTGATATGTCTGATGCGGTGAGTGGGGGTGTGGGTGTGGGTGGGGTTGGGGGTGGGTGAGTGTGGGTGGGGATGTCTGTGTGTGTAGGTGTGGTCTGTGTGTGTGTGTGTGTGTGTGTGTGTGTGTGTGTGTGTGTGTGTGTGTGTGTGTGTGTGTGTGTGTGTGCGTGTGCGTGCGTGCGTGCGTGCGTGCGTGCGTGCGTGCGTGCGCGTGCGTGCGTGCGTGCGGTTCCGCGAGTGCACATGCACATGGGATTGTGTGTGGTGTTGGGTCATGAGCTGGGATGGGAGTGTGCATGGCCATACCTTGTGTCCATTTCCCCCCTCGCATCCCAGCTCATGCCTCCAGTACTTTCTTTCCTCCTCTTCTTCCCCCCCCATGTGTGTCCAGGTGAACGTGATGACCCACTGCCAGGAGGTGCCTCTGAAGCCCTTTCAAGAGAAGCTCGTGCGGCGGGTGCGAGAGGAGGTGGAGAAGGTTAGGGCGAAGGGAGGAGAGAGGGGGAGTGAGAGGAGAATGGTAGGGAAGGAGAGGAAGGAGAAGGAGAGGAAGGAGAAGGAGAAGGGGACGGGGAAGGGGAAGGAAGAGGTGGAGGAAAAGCAGGAGGAAAAGGAGGAGGAGAAGGAGAAGGGCAAGGGAAAGGAGAAGGAGGAGAAGGAGAAGGAAAAGGAGAAGGAGGAGGAGGGGGGGAAGGAGAAGGAGGAGGGGGAGAAGGAGAAGAAGGACAAGGAGAAGGAGATAAATCTTGGTGATGCGCTGTGCCTTCTGCATTCTGCTTTCCCTCAGCACCCATCTCCATCTGCTGCTGCTCCTGCTTCTCCTCTCCATGCCACACCATCCAAGCCTTTGGCAGTGACGGGAGGTGATGTGAAAGTCCCACCTGTTCTTGCTGCTGGTGCGGCTGTGACTGGCGTTGATAACAAGGGGTTTCAGAAGCAGAAGGAGGTGAAAGAAAAGGAGAACGGTAAAGCGGAGAAGGAAGAGGAAGAGGAAGAAGAGGAGGAGGTGGAGGAGGATGAGGAGGAGAGGGAAGGGGCGTGGTTCAACGAGAGGGGAGGGGCGCTGTGGGATATATTCCGGCGGGAGGACGTGGGCCTGTTGAGGCAATACATTCGAGAGCACAAGCATGAGTTCACCCACCTCCACAACAAGCCTCTATCCTCGGTACGCTGAACAACACACCTGAGTTCAATTGCTGATGTGTTGAAAAAAAGGAAAGTCGAGGAAGAAGAAGAAAAAAGCCTTTCATTTCTGTACATCCTGCGGTTGGGTCCACTCCTTGTGTACGCACGCTCCTTCTCCTCTTCTCCTTTCGTTTCCTTTCCACCCCACCCACAATGCCTCCTCTTGTCTGCTTTCTTGCGGATTGCTTGACATTTGGTTTGTGAGCTTTCTGCATCTCAAAGGCACGTTCCTTGGTCAGCAGCACGACCGAACTCACTATCCCTCTTGAAGCGCCTCAAAAGCACGTTCCTTGGTCAGCATGGTTGAGCTCGAGGTGACTTTTGAGTCGACTCAAAAGTCACCTCGTTCCTTGGTCGGCACGGGTGAACTCACTCTCCTGTTCCCTCTTTCACCCTCGCCCTCCCTCTCGCCCCCCCCCTTCCTCTGCATATCTCTCCTCCCCTCTGCAGCTAGAGCATGAGGTTCACGACCAAACCGTGTATCTCTCCAACCATCACAAGCGCCAGCTGAAAAACTTTTGAGGCGTCTCAAATGCCCTCCCACTCGCTCTTCCTCTCCCTCTCCCTCTCGCTCTTCCCCTCTGCAGCTAGAGCATGAGGTTCACGACCAGACCGTGTATCTCTCCAACCATCACAAGCGCCAGCTGCAAGAGCAATACGGTGAGCTGAGCTGCTGCATGCACGCCGTCTTAGAGCAATTTCGAGACGCCTCAAGCCCTGAATAGAGTTGAATCGTGTTGAGACTTCTCCATCCTTTTCTCACTCTGGCCTCCTAAAAAAGCATTTCCTTTTTTGCTTCTTCTTCTTCTGCTTTTCTGCTGTACGAATATTCCCCGTCCTTCCAACATATCCATGCTTCACCTGTCATCTCTGCTCCTCCCCCAGGAGTGCAAGCATGGACGTTCCAGCAGCAGAGAGGCGACGCAGTGCTCGTGCCGGCTGGTTGCCCGCATCAAGTCAGAAACCTCCAGGTACCTTCTTGCTGCCCGTCGTGTTATCCCTCTCTGTTTTCTGATACGCGTGTGTTCGCACAAGGTTCCAACAAACCGTGTGCGAATGGCACCAGTGAGCGAGTGTGCATGTCGAATGTCCCCACCTCATGCATCCCCTCTCATCTCCCGTCCCTTCCCATCCCGTCCCTCCTCTCCAAACAGCACACCACATTCGCAGTGGCCCTGCCCTCCTCCGCGCCATTCTCCCTTGGAACCAGTCTCCGTATTCTCCCCTCCTCTCACGCTCGTACCTATCCTCTCCTCCCCCCCCCTTCTCCTCCCCCCCCCCTCCTCTGCACGCCCACAGCCATGCATGAATCTGGCCGTGGACTTGTGTCCCCGGCCCTTTGAAACCTTTTCCTTCACCTTTTCCTCCTTGCCATTCCCCTCCCTCCCTTCTGTGCTTCCCCAGTCATGCATGAAGGTGGCTGTGGACTTTTTGTCGCCTGAGAGTGTGTCAGAGTGCGTTGCACTCACTCACGAGCCTCAAAATCAGACTCCCCCCCTCCCCCCCCCCTGCACTCCTCCCAGTCGTGCATGAAGGTGGCAGTAGACTTTGTGTCGCCTGAGAGCGTGTCAGAGTGCGTTGCACTCACACACGAGTTCCGAATGCTGCCCTCTGATCACCGCGCCAAGGAGGACAAGCTCGGGGTGAGTGGAGGGGGGAGGTGGGAGGTGGGGGAGGTGCTTTTGAGTCTGCTTTTGAGTCGGCTCAAAAGCTGTGTTGCACTCACACACGAGTTCCGAATGCTGCCGTCTGATCACCGCGCCAAGGAGGACAAGCTCGGGGTGAGTGGAGGGGGGACGGGGGGAGGGGGGGAAGAGGGGAAGGTGGTTTTTGAGGCGCCTGAAAAAATCTGAATGCTGTCCTCTGATCACGGCGCCAAGGAGAACAAGCTCGGGGTGAGCAGCAGGCGAGGTGGGGAGGTGGGGTTGGGATGAAGCATGGGGGATTTGGTGAAAGGGTGAGGGAGAGATGTGGGGTTGGTTCGTTCGAGCCAGGAAGTGGAAGCGCAGGGCACACAGCACACTTCTCTCGCTGTTTCTACACAGTGCCACTGCCACGAATTTACTCAGTACTCAGTATGACAACAAGGCACCGTCCTTGCTCCCTACTCTCAACTGAAGTACTGCTGCTGACTGCCCCTTCCCACACTTGCCTTGTATCTCCTTTCCCTCCCTTCCGTTCCCTGTTTTTCCCTGTCCTCCTGTGCTTCCATCCATCCCCACCAGGTTCACAACATGGTGATCAACACAGCGTGCAAGGAAACCACTCCTGAGGAGCTCCACATATCGTCCTTCCCCTCCCGTGCTTCCACTCAATCCATGCCCACCAGGTGTACAACATGGTGATCAACGCAGCACAGAGGGCGCTTGCCTCCCTGCAACCTGACTCCCAGCCTACCGCATCTGCTGCACACAACACTCGCAAGAGGAAAAAGACGTGAAGGGCACTCAGCTGGCCACCTGTGCTTCATCTGTTAACTCAGTACCCCATTATGGGGTTGTTGTGGTGAGGATGTTTTGCTTAGGTTATAGGAAACTTAAGTTCCTTGTACAGCCTGCTAACAGGCTGTGGTGTCCGAGCATGTGTTCAAGAGTCTGAGATCATTTTGTTTCCGGATTTACGTGGATTGTGGTTATGCTACTGTGTTGATAAAGTTTTGATGTTGCTGTTGTCAGGGTGGATTGATATGCACTTGCTTACTATATAATGCAGTAGTCTCTTATTACATCATTCAGTCAATATTCAAACTGACTGCAAGCCATTCATCTTGCACTGTCAGATGTATGGTGTGATGTGATGGTACTGTATCACTGACACAAGCTCGCCTTACTCCCAGCATGTTTCTAGAGGCTTCTTACAGTGCAATTCGTGGGGGATTTCCAGCTGTATACAACAACGCAATCACATGCAACTCAATAATAAAGCAGGTGCACACGGTCTGTCTATCGTCATAATGAACGAAGTTCTCCTAATACCTGTCATCATCCCTTCTGAACAGACCCCGCACAAAGCCAAACACGATACCAGCAACAATGGAGAAGATGAAGAAATCAAAGAAAAAACCCAATCCACCACCTCCCACTCCAACGGCAACAGTGGGACCCGGAGTGACCACAGTAAAGGGAGACCAGCCCCACCCCCCGAAAAACGGTGAAGGAGCGAAGAACCCTCCTCCATAGATGGGCGGTGCCACAGTCACGGGAGGGGCAACGTAGATGTTGGTGCTGCGAGAGGATGAAGGGGGAGACAGGGGATGAAGCGAGAGGATTAGCGTAGCGCTAGACTGGGTGGAGGCATGCCTGAAAGCTTGACTTACAGAACACCACAGAAGGAGACTTCGCTCATAGCAAAGCAGCAAGTCTGACAGGAAGCGGGACAGGAGCCTGTCGAACATGCACCGTAAGGGGATGTATTTGTGGGCTATGAGATTCGACTGACGATGCTCCTTTCGCCCTTTCCCTGGCCGGTTCCCCTTTGTCTCTCTTGACTCTGCTGAGCCCTCTCTGTTTCTCGACACAGTTGAGGTGTGCGATAGGTACACTCTCCGTATTCTCCCTCGCTTCATTATTATATTTTCTTTTCTTTTTAGCGGCAAGGAGAATGTCTTGAGGAACTCACTTGCTTCTAATCTGTGTGCGCTGACGAGGCGGAGGAGGAGCGGCGCGAGACCTTTGGAACGACTGACCACCCACGCGACCGCCGCTTTGCGCGGCGTCCGCCACGAGAGCCGGCGACATGACGAGCGCGCCAGCCGCGAGGAGGATGGCGCAATGCTGAGCCGCCACGGCGAAGAGCGAACGAGGAGATTCGGAGGCGGCGACGACGTCGGGAGTCTCCGTAACAACCAAGCTGGTGAAATAGTGAGGACGAAGAGGGAAAACGGAAGAGAGGGTGATCAACTTGAAGAAACTGCCAGACGCTAAACTAGACCTTCCAGCTAGTTATGCTTCACAAGACGTTTCCACTGACACTGTTCGGTGTCTCGCACCCTAGACGTAAGGCCGTACCTGGTCAACTTGGCAGTCTCGCCTTCCACAGGCTCCCTTGCTGCGGAACGGTCCGCTTCCGCTCTGATGGAAGCGCGAACCGGTAAGGCGGGAGTCCTGGCTACGATTCTCTTCCGCTGGCCTCGTGAAAGGAACGCTGACGCGCCTGGATTCAAGGGGGCCTTGAGCAAGAGAGCCATGGCGAAGCTTGGCCTACGACCAGTTAGCGAAGGAGCTTCAGGGTCTTCAGTCCAGACTCTCGAGGCAGAAGACGACCAAGCAACTCCAAGCAAGAACGCCTCGATCAGACGCTAACGGAACGAGGCTGATGGTCTGTTCTTGTCAGTGCTTGCTCAGGATTCAGTTCTTGGAAATTAGGTGGTGAGACGGCTCGGGTCGGGTGTAATCAAGCTTCGAGTGAAGGCCGACAAGCTCGAGATTGGACTGGGCGTTTTGGCGGGAGGAATCGAAGTAGGCCAGGGAAGGTGAAAGTCAAGAGAGGATGTTTAGCGGGGATACTGCAGTGTTTCAGTGCGTTTCAGTAGGCTTTCGCAGGGTGTTAGACGTTAATAATTATACACCGCTCCGGACCAGAGCCCACCCAACATCACCGTGGCACGTGGTTTGGAAATTGAACACGTGGAACACCGCATCGTTGTCGAAGGCACAGGTTGACAGAAGAGGAACCAACCCAAGAAATTGAGGACGCGAGTGCTGTCAGCATGACGTGGCGTGTGCATTGAAAGGGCTGAGTGTGATAAGGGCAGCGTGTCAGGTGACGAGGCCTTCACACATTTCGAGGCTCATTGGCGCTCTGGCTCAAACCCTCTAGATAATTCCGACAGGGGCGATCGACGGTAAACATGGGGCCACGTCTGTAAAGCCTCCTCGACATCGAGATTTGTCACCCCCTGACTGCCGACTTTTGCGAAGCTTTGAGAACCGGTAACTTTGATCAAGTTACTACTACCAAATGCAAACAATAGCGAATCCACACGCTTTACACATTTATGGATTTTTACTCGACATTTTGAATGTGAGATTCTGCGAAGCACTTCAGGACAAAGCAGACGCATGCCTCGTAGCTTACTCACGAATCTCGCAGGAACGCGACACGTATCCTCGACACCTAAGGCGCTCGTGGCTTGCCTTCGAAATGGCGTGTTCCGCGCTTCGACCTCTGGACAAACTCGCGCGCACTTCATTCGCACATAATCCTCATCTCATGCTCGTGCATTCCTTTCGAATTCCGAGGGTTCCGCATCGCTACTCCACTATGCAGAAATCACGATCGACCAGTCGTACCCAGCCCTGTCGTAGCAGCAGCTCCGTCCCTCTTTTCAGCCTCAGCTGACAGCATTTTTTATCTTTTCGTCGCGGATCTTTCTGTTCATTTTCACCCCAGACACTTCCATCCGCACTCTAGGGCCGCCATGTCGGGAGCATCTCTAGCCGCAGACGTGATCACATCCGAGCCGTACTGGAGGGGACGGCCCGTGAGCGTGCCTCCGTTGGGGACATCTTACGACGACGAGAGTCCGCGCAGCCGTCGCAGCAGCGGCGGAGGCAGCACCCGCCGACGGCGCTCCCCTGTGGGGTCAGGCAGCTGGGAGGCTCCGCTTCACTCCATGAGCCCCAAGTCCCAGAAGCACACGCAACAGTCGCCGCCGCGCGATCAGCAGCAGCAGCAGCAGCAGCAGCAGGGAGCTCTGCACGAAGGGGCTGGTTACCACCATGGCCATGGTTCGCAGGAGCATGGGGGAGGGTTGAGCATGAATTCGGTGGCAGCTACCTCGTTTATGGGGTCGTTGAGCTTTGTACAGGTAGTCGGGCTGTAGCTTAGTTATTAAGCTTTAATTTACTTTCCTTTTCTGACCATAACTATGGTGGTGCTGTGTGATCCCTTGTGCAGGTTCAAATGATGGCGTTCATTGTCGTCTTCACCAGCAGCGGTCTCGTGCCCCTAGAAGAGATCTTCTTTGTCGTGTTTCTAACGATCTACTCATCCATTCTCGCTACGTGGGCCTTTCCCCCAGTTTCCCGCTCAGCCCCCCCTAAGGTCTTCAGTGGCAGCAGGCTGTTTAAAGTACATGTGACTGCTGGGGCTGTGATTGGGATGTTCCTGCCACTTTCCTACGTTCTAGGAGGTAATTATTTAACGATCTGCTCAGTTCAACCCCCTTTCTCCAGCATGCTGATGTCTCACAAGTGCCAACAGCTGATGTTCATGTGCTGTGTCTGCAGGGTTTGCCAAGAATGACCATATGGCAGTGGAGTGCGTGACCCCTCACCTCTTCCTGCTCTCCTGTCAAGTGCTCACAGAGAATATCATCGTTGATCTCACATATGTTTCCCTCCCAGTTCGTGCCCTCATCCCAATCATGTAAGTTTTATTCACAAAAACCCCTTACGCTGGTTTCCCTGTTGCTCGCCGCTGATCTGAGCCGCTTTGAGATGGCAGGTACAACTGGCATCGCCTTTCTCTGCTGGCCGAGTGGAATCGCCGCCTCCTTCAGGTGGTTGCAGCCGCCACATCAGCCGCTGTTTCTCAGTCTGCTGATGGCGTGAGCAGTGGAGCAAGGACACCTTCAGTGGGTGATCTATACCATGGAGCGGGCCCAGCTGTTGCCAGCAGTGGTGTGGTTATCAGGAGGGCATTAATTGGTGGGGGGTATTGGCAGATGTTTGGTAGGTATTTGGCGGTGGCCAATCTCGTGTACTGGAGCCTGAACTTGTTTGGGTTCTTGCTCCCAGTGTTCCTGCCTCGTGCGTTCAAGCGGCATTTTGAGATGCAAGCTGCTGCAGCAACTGCCGCTCCACCAGCAGGCCCTTCTTCAAAAGAGAAAAAAGCACATTGAGAATTGCGCGCTCTGTACCGTTGTCCCTAGGCACTTATTCTAGGTAGCCTGAGTGCATCATTAAATCAGATTCATTGTGTTGAAGTTAGGGCGTGTGAGGTCTTTGTAGAAGTTCAAAATAAAGTTCGAACTTTGGGTGGTTACCCTATTCGCTAATTTCGCGAAGGGTGCTTCGGGAACTAAGCATTGTATGGGCTTTGCAAAAGTTCGAGTTTGAAATATGAACTTGACTCGAGTCGGAGGCGGGAACGCGCGTGCGCACGTTCATGCGAGCGTGTGTGATTTGCAGCACGTCCGAAGAGCTGGCGAAACGGGCGAGCGCTTCGCCAATGCATAAAGTTGCACAACGAAGACACCCCACAATTCGTGCACACAATGGTAGCCACGTGTCCAGCATCGTGACATGTTCGAGCACGATGTGGCAACGCGTCCCGCCCGTCTTGACGTCAGTCAAAGAAACTCCCGCCCTTGGCCAATCCACGTCCCCCGCACCAAATGTCTTTGAAATCCTGTGGGAGTGGAAGGCACTTGATACATTCAAATATACCACCCTTCTCCAACACTTGTGTAATGTATACGCAAATTCCATTCGACATGACAAACGGCAACACTAGCGCCCATGGCTCTGCCACACCGGCAGATGCTACCACTCCAACAGCCTCTACTCCCGCATCTGTCGCTGCACCGGTCCGCGCACCCGCACCTCAGCGGCGTCGGCGTGCTGGCGTTGATCCGGCCGCTTCGTGGCGCCTTGGAGTTATCGACCTGGACGATATCGTGGCGCGTGTGCCAAACGGGAACACTCCTCTAGGTGCTGACGACGACACCCTCGCGTACTTCGACGCAGGCGAAATCGACTGCCATGGCGAAGACGGCGCCGACGACGACGCCGATGCAGCGACGCCCATCGACAAAAAAGGGTGGGAGCCGGCGGAAGTCATGCAGCTGGCGTGGATCCGCCACGACTTCGACGAGCAATATCGGAATCTGTGCCGCCTGCAAGGCCAGAACCGGGACGTCATGCTCTACGAGCAAGTCCGTCTTCGTCACCCCGGATGGCGCCATGGTCTCGCAGCCACGAAAGCCAAGGTTTTCCGTATGGAGGCTCAGTGGCGGAAGGTGTCGGATTTATTGCTAAAACCTTCCGGGAAGGGGAAGCCCCCTAAAATGCCTATTTTCTATGACACATTCGACAGGTTCCTAGGGGATCGGGCGAATGCGCGTCCCCCGGCGCTCGCGGGCCCCTTGATTCCCGCAACTACTACCGCGCCTCCTCCTCCGGCTCGTACCATTCCTAGTAAGTGTTGATTGCTGTTAAATGTGATCCTTTTTTTTTACTGCTCATAATTTAAGATTGATGCTACTAATACAACCATTCAACAAGGTGGCATGTAATAATGAAACCACCCAACACCCCCATATGCGACGCCCATCACCGGCAGATGTGGCGTCTCCTACCACCGCATCAGCGGTGTCTGCAGGGCCTGATGGCGTAGCAGCATCAGCAAGCCGAGCGCAGTCGGCTCGTCGCTCACCCAATCCCCGCCGAGAGACGGCTTCGCCTGGTCACTCTCCTTCGCGCCAGCCATTTTCGTCTCCGTCTACGTCTGCGCTTGCGCCGGACGTGTCCCCCGCCGCTGCCACCGCCACTGCATCTCCATCCCGTTCACACGTCGTCGGCGCGAACGCGGGTGTTGCGCTCCGTGGCCGCGGTGTCTCCCGCCGGCCTGGGCCTGCGGCTGCCGAAGAGGAACATTCGGGCAACGACACAATGGGAGGTGGTGTTGGTAACCACATGAACTCAAGTGATTCAGTGCTGTGTGCTGAAATAGCGGGGATAATTGCGCAATCGGTAAAAGGGGCTATGCGGGACCAATTTGATGAGTTTTTAGAACGTACCCAAAAGATGGTTGAGAGAGCTCAGGATGCCCGAGCCTCCAGGAAGCGTAGAAGTACGCCGCCAGGCGAGATCGACGACGAGTCGGAGTAAAGCCCGCATCGCGCGACGAGAAATGCGGGGCCTCCGCAACGGGTCCTGTCAGAATCAGCGAACAGGAATGAATGAACTAGCAGTGAAATGAGTACAAGTAGGAAACCCTAGAATTGTGTACCCCCTATAGGCTAACCCACTGTAGCCTACACAAGCATAACATATATAATGTTTGACACACCCCCATAGGCAAAGTGGGGGAGAACAAGGGGTCACAAGACCAGTCAAGCAAAGCAAAGCAAGCTCAGGGTGGATCACAAAGTCACCACACAGTCCGAGCACAAGAGCAGGGCCAGAGGCCAGTTCACATGCAGGAGTACAGACATATATATAAAACTAGACAAGCAAGAGCAGGTATATATATATGTCACAGTACAAGTGAAGTCAAGAGGAGAGCAAGTGAGGCAAGACAGGCACAAGACCCAGCTGGGTGCAAAAGCGCTGATGGTCACAAGGCGCGAGTGCCTTGGTGAACACATCAGCAGTGTTGGCCTCAGAGGCCACGTACGCAAGTCGCAACTGACCACGCTGCTGCAGCTCACGAGCAAGGAAGTAGCGGAGAGCAATGTGCTTCGTTCTGTGCTCCAAGCGCTGCTCTCGACACAAGGCCAGCATGGCCTTGTTGTCTACGTACAGCACTGGAGGAGAACGAGGCGGCTCTCCAAGGTCAGTCAGCAGGTAGGTGAGCCAGCGAAGCTCCTGTGCAGCCATGGCCCCGGCGTAGATCTCAGCCTCACAACTGGAGCCGAGAACCGAAGACGAGCGAGTAGACCGCCACGAGACAGAGCCGGAACCAAGGCTGAAGGTGTAACCCTGTGACGACCGCTGCGTAGCCTGGTCGTCAGCCCAAGAAGCGTCCGCGTGGCCGGTAAGGACCACTGGACTCCGCCCTCCAAGCACAAGCCCCATGCCCGACGTACTGCACATGTAGCGCAATACCCTCTTCGCTGCAGCCATGTGCTCTGGTCTGTGTCTCCCAGGAGCAACATAGCGTGCAAGAATGCTCAGAGGATATGCAAGGTCAGGTCGTGTGCAGGTCATCAGGTACATGAGGCAGCCAACAAGCTCTGCATACGGACCACTCGACTCTACGGACTCATCCGAAGGCAGAGCTGAGAGTGAGTGGCGAGTAGGCAGAGGAGTGGCCTGAGGCGAGGAGTACGTGAAGCCGAAGCGCTGAAGGACCTGCTGCACCATGTGTGACTGAGTCAAGGTAATGGTGCGGCGTGCTCTGTCCCGAGTGATCTGCAAGCCAAGGTAGCTGCGCAGTTCACCCAGGTCTGTGCACGTGTGTCTCTTCAGCAGTTCGGACTTCACGTAGGCGAGTCCAGTAGTGTCCGCTGTGGCAAAGACCAAGTCGTCGACGTACACGAGGATGTAGAACGGCGGCAGTGAAGTGTCGGTGCGCAGAAACAGCGACGGGTCAGCAGTAGAAGGAGCAAACCCAAGAGCCGCAAGCGTAGTCCTCACTGTGTCGTGCCACTCACGCGGTGCCTGGCGGAGACCGTAGACTGGCCGTCGGAGGCTCCACTGGGTGCCAGGAGGGAAAGTCCCAGTGAAGCCAGGTGGACGGCGCAGCCAGATCTCCTCGTGCAGGCTACCCTGCAGGAACGCAGTGCTGAAGTCGAGAGAGTGAAGCTCGTAGTCGCGCTGAGCGGCTATGTGCAGCAGCACCCGAAGAGTGGTCATCTTCGGGGTGGGAGAGAAGGTCTGAAAGTAGTCAACTCCCTGCCGCTGACTGAAGCCACGAGCAACGTACCGCGCCTTGAAGACAGGTGGAGAGCCCGGCGGCCGCTTCACCCGGAAGATCCACATGCCACTGACGATGTTCGCCCCAGGAGGGGGAACTGCGTCAACGTAGGTGCCTGTGGACTTCCAGGAAGCCATCTCTGCATCCATAGCTGCCTGCCACTGAGAGGAGTAGGGACCCTCTACGGCCTCCGCGTAAGAACGCGGAGTCGGGATGTCTAGTGCATCCGGGTCTCCCTCAGGGGCAAGCAGTACAGACGCGAGATGAGGTGAAGCAGCCGCTAGACACTGTAACTCCTCCTGTCTGTCCTCTAGGACGTCCGTGCCAAGAGCACACTCACCCCCGACGGACGGAGGACAGACAGACGCAGACTCAGCAACAAGACCAGCAGCGTAGTCGAGACGACAGCGAGCAGCAAAGTCAACGAGCTCAGCGACTAGAGCAGACGCAGTAGTGGACTCAAAAGAGGGGTCAGTGACGACAGTAGCAAGCAGACGCGTGACAGTAGGACTGGCAGCGCGAAGAGAGTCCGACTCAGGGTCGGCAAGCGCAGGAAGAGAGGACTCCGGAGGAGAAGGCAAAGGGGCACGCAGAGGAGCAGTGGACGGACGCAGAGACATCCGGTGCGTGCCAGGGACAGGAGGAGGACGCTGACGCGAACCGCGACCACTAGCGCGAGCAGCACGAACAGGCGACGCGGGACGAGACGCAGGCTCACGACGCTCAGCAAGACCTCCAGTAGGACCAGTGTAAGGAGAGGGAGCAGGCAGAGGAGAGGAAGGCTCCAACAGTGACTGCGACTGGACAGGCTGTGGACACTCTACCGAAGGAGAAAGACCAAGAACCTGCTGTAGGAGCGGAACAAAGTACGGCCGAGGCCGCGCGGCAGCTCCAGACTCAGCAGGGACAGCACCGGCACCCTCAGCGACAGCACCAGCGCCACCCACACCTCTAGCGGCAGGACCAACAGCAGTAGGCTCAGCACGAACGCCCTCAGCACCTCCAGCTCCAGGAGGACCCGCAGGTCCAGCAGCTCCGGGACCGGCAGCACCCGCACCCTCGACGGTCGAAGAAGCTCCAGCTCCAGCTCCAGCAGCACCTCCAGACTCAGCAGCACGCCTCCAGCGGCGAGCGTACCACTCGCGCAGCTCCTGTGGAGAGAGGGGCTCCCGGCGAGACGCAGCAGCAGGAGAAACCCCAGGCTCAGCAGCTCCAGACGCAGGAGGGACAGCACCAGCACCCTCAGCTACAGCACCAGCGCCACCCACACCTCCAGCGGCAGGACCAACAGCAGTAGGCTCAGCACCAACGCCCTCAGCAGCTCCAGCTCCAGGAGGACCCGCAGGTCCAGTAGCTCCGGGACCGGCAGCACCCGCACCCTCGACGGTCGAAGAAGCTCCAGCTCCAGCTCCAGCAGCACCTCCAGACTCAGCAGCACGCCTCCAGCGGCGAGCGAACCACTCGCGCAGCTCCTGTGGAGAGAGGGGCTCCCGGCGAGACGCAGCAGCAGGAGAAACCCCAGGCTCAGCAGCTCCAGACGCAGCACCCCCAGGCTCAGCAGCTCCCGACCCAGCACCCCTAGACCCATCACCTCCAGGCACAGCACCCCCTGGCTCAGCACCCCCAGGCTCCGCACCCTCCGCAGTAGCACCCGCAGGCCCGGTACCCCCAGCAGTAGCACCCCCGCGCACAGCACCCCCAGAGTCAGCACCCCCAGGCTCAGCACCCGCAGCAGCACCAGAGTCACCTGTAACCTCGACCGGGTCAACGGCGTCTACCTGGGACACACCTGAGGGGGCAGGAACCTGAGGGGGGAGGGGGTCTACCGGGGGGGGAACCGGTACAAGGAAGTCCGGGGGAGGGGGGAGGGAAGGAGTGCGGTAGGGGAAGAGACGGTAGAAGGGGACTGACTCGTCGAACGTGACGTCCTGGGAGGACAGAACACGACGAGAGGAGGGGTGGTAAAACTGCCACCCTGGGGCGTCAGTGGGGAAGCCAAGGAAGACACAGGGAGCAGCACGAGGGGACAGCTTGTCCGCAGACAAGTCGCGGACAAACGCCCGAGATCCCCAGACACGGAACACAGACGCATCGCCAACCTTCCCTGTCCACAGCAAGGCTGGGGACATCGCAGGCCGAGAGACCCGGGGGTGAAGGTTGAGCTGATGCGCCGCGTACCTCACCGCAAACGGCCACAGAAAATGGGGGGCAGCCGCATGCATCATGGACGTACGAGCGACATCCATGACCATGCCAATGCGGCGCTCAGCAATCCCATTTTGCTGTGGTGAGTCCGGAAGCGTGAAGGACTGGCGGATGCCTCGCGCACGACAGTAGGCACGCAGAAGGCCAGAGGAGAACTCTCCGCCTCTGTCCGAGTGCAGACGCAGAACAGGAAAGTCCGAGCCGAAGCTCTGCCTGAGCTGGAGACGAGCCTCGCGGATCCAGTCGATCAGCACCTCAGTGACCTCACCCTTGCTGCGCAAGGGGAGGACTGTGGTGTAACGCGAGTAGTCGTCAACCACCAACAGGAAGTAGCGCTCGTAACCCTGCCCACG